CATTGGCCCTCTTCCAGTCCTCTGGCACCACACCTGAGCACCATGAGTGCTCGTACAACCATGCCAGGAGTCCTGCAATGACTGCAGCTAATGCCCTCAGCACTTGGGGGTGGAGATTGTCTGGACCAGATGATTTCAATACATCCAGTCCCTGCAGAAGTTCCCTGACTAGATCCTCCCTGATCCATGGCCTGGGTGCGCCTCCCCTGGGGCCTGAGGGGGGCCTGGTAGGGGGCTGATCTGGTCCCTGCTCAGGAAAATGGAGGCAAAGAAGTCGTTAAATAGGTTAGCTTTGTCGTCTGGTGTTAGGACCAAATTTCGTAGCGTGTCTTGCAGGGGCCCCATGTTACCTGGTACCTTCTTTTTGCTCCCTGTGTATTTAAAAAAGGACTTCTTGTTGTCCTTGATCTGGGAAGCTAGTCCCAGTTCCATCTCTGCCTTGGTCTTCCTGACCGCCCCCCTGCATCCCCGCGCAACCACAGTATAATCCTCTCTGGTGATGGCCCCTCCCTTCCATTGGGTGTACACTTCCCTTTTAGCTAGAAGACATTCCCGGATGCTTTTGGTGAGCCATGGGGGCTTTTGCGCCCTCCTGCTCCCTTTGATCCATGTTGGGACTACCTCCCTTTGGGCTTGGAGGATCATCTCCTTAAGGAGCGACCACTTTTCTTGGACACCTGGCTCCCCTCCCCTCTGGGACCTCAGTGCTTCCCCGACTATTCTCCTTAGCTCATTGAAGTCCGCCCTCCTGAAATCTAGGGCTGCTGCCTTGCTGCAGGGCTTTGCCACCTTGCGCTGGACGGTGAATCCCAGCCGGCGATGATCGCTGTCACCCAGGTGGTCGAGCACCTGCAGCCCCCTCACCACCAGGTCGTCACCCGTGGCCAGCACCAGGTCCAACAAGGCATCTCCCCTGGTGGAGCTGTGCACCTCCTGGGTTAGATGGAGGTCCCATATCTTGGCTAGGAACCTACGTGACCGGTCAGACCTGGCTGACTGCTCTTCCCAGCAGATGTCTGGAAAGTTCAGGTCCCCCATGATGACTACGTCCTTTGACCTAACTACCTCCATGAGCTGACTTAAGAATTCCTGGTCGAGCTCTTCCCCATGGTTGGGTGGTCTGTGGTAGACCCCCACCGTTAAGTCTCTTTCCCCTTGACTGCCTTGTATTCTAACCCAGAGCACTTCTGTGTCCCCTCCTCTGACTCTGTGCTACCTGATGAGGATGTGTATTCCTCCTTAATGTAGAGCGTCACACCCCTGCATTTCCTCCCTGTCCTGTCCCTCCTGTACAGCCTATAGCCCTTGATATTCACTACTCAGTCATGCGTTGGGTCCCACCATGTTTCAGTGAGCCCCACTCTGTCTGGGTTGGTGTCAGCTAGCAGGAGGGTGAGTTCCTCCTGCTTGTTCCCCATACTACGAGTGTTTGTGTAGAGGCATTTGAGGCCTCCTGTGGATGTGTGCACTTGGTTGGTAATCAAAAAGGTTTTTTGAAACAAGTCTCTGTTGCTTTCTATTTTGTAGTATATGCCAACCTGTGTATGTGCAAGGCTATACAAGCTGAGAGAGAGCTTGCATGTGCTGCAGAGAGGAAAAGAGAAACTACAGAAGCAGAGGTCAGTAAACGGCACTAAAAAGCAGCACCCCCCAACCCCTTCCCCCTGGGGTGGCTGGCCTGGTTAAGGCAAGATGAACTTCTATCTCCTCTCATC